CTACTTTTGAAAAGCTAGATATCATAGTGTTGCTCTCATTGGTACCTCTTGCCACAAGCACTGCATATTCATTTTATGTCAGATTAGAACCTACCATAATGTTTCTCTCAATGTCACATAACTTTATGGCTGCTTGAAGGTGAGTTCTCAAATACTTGGCACACCCTGTACATGCACTGATATTTAATGAAAAACAGAATAGCTTTCATTTGTTCCTGGTAGATTAATGATGAAGAAATACTTTGGAAAATAGAAAACAGATTTTGAAGGAAAATTGTTTTGTGATATTGTTTTAACATTAATAATAATAATAATAATAATAATAAAGAAATTGTCTTCTTACACCAAATTATTAAAAGTACTAATTGTTACTGTTAAAAATCAACCATGTAACACATCATCCCCACCCCCACTATCACATTCTCTATTAGGAACAATTTTTTTTTCTCTTTCACTTTTTCTATAAAAGTAAATATGACCCCCCCTCCTTTATTTAGTAAGTATTTATTTTTCAGTGCTACCAAATGTGACACAAGGTTGAAGTTTAAAGTGGGTTTAATGGCAATACTGTGGAAAATTTGTCCAAGCCCCACTCAGTGCTTCCCTTTTGAGGATGCTTCAGGTACCAGGCAATAAACTCAGCCCCCTGGGGTTTGGGCATTATATTTTTTTTTTTTTTTTTTTGAACTTCCCCAGCATGTGCCAGATGCCCACCAGATTATTGTAAGATGTGCTTCAATAATTTGCATCTTGATTTTATTGTTTTTCCATAATAACAATTTACTTTATTTAGGAAAAAGCGAGACTTGTTAGATCAGACAACCTTCTATTGTTGATCCAGTCAAATTCTGGCACTTTCATGTTTATTAATTGTGCTTTTAGCATTGTTTGGCAGGGCTACTTTGATTGACCTGTGTCATTGCAGACCTATATGCAACAAGGGTTGATGTGTTGTGTGATATTTCTTCTTTCATTTTGCTTTAATCAGTCTACAAGTTGTGCCATACTGCCTCCACTATTGTCTCATACTTGGTGTCTGTTCACTTCTCATATAGATAAACCATAACCCCCAAAATGACTTGCTGCTGTTGTTGATTTTTCTTGCTTTTGACTACAACGGAAAATGAGCATCCACTAGCCATGCCATTTCGGAAATACACTGACATTTTTTTTTCTTTCCCATAATTGCAGCATCCAATAAAACAAAATTCAATCCACGAGGCTGGCTTATATTCATATATACCTCTGACCTGTTATGAAACAGTAACTGTCATTCTTATTACATCTCACTGATCATAATGTTTTGACCTATTTGTATATATGCACAGGGTTACTTGAAAGAAGGACATTTGGGTTGCAGCAAATTTCGAAGGCTGTAAAACTTGTCAGTTCAAAAAAATTAATATTTTAAAATCCTGACCTTTTTATTGAGTTCTTGAACACCAGCCATTGCTACTAGTGGAAAATACGGGAATCTGTCACACTGCAAGCTTTATATATAATGGTAGATATGTTGAGGTGGCCCGAGTGTGATGACTACATCTGGCAGCAAGGTCTCTGATCAGGAGATTTTGAGTAGCATGGAACCACTTCTTAATTGATGTTGTTCTCAGCTTCACCCTAGCTTGGGGTTGTAGCACCTGTTAGAATCTTAGCTATAGGTAAATAGTTAACTACCAAACTCTGGTCAAAACATGAAAGTATAAAAAAAAAATATAGTACATTGTCATTGAAAAAAATTACCAGCAATACATTTCTGTAAAAGAAATTACTAATGCTCTCAAGAAAATTTAAATTTCGGCATCAAATGACCCATAAGGTGTTGATATGCCGCTAAACAAACATCTGTTGAGTGTATTTGATTATTCAATATATTTTTTAGTCTGTTTTTATTGGCAACTGAATCTGTATATTTTCTCTAATTTTTTGAATTCACTTGATAATCTTCTTTTTGTCTGAAATTCAGAGGGGAGGAAATATTATTTCAATTCATATTATTATTCTTATCTTTTGTTGATTTTTTTTTTTTTTTTTTATGGAATAAGTGAGCATTTAAAATTCTCAATAGTAACAAAATAATGCAAGAAGCGGCCAGTGTAATATAAGATAACAAAATAAAGCAATTACAAGATAGTAAAAAAAAAAAAAAACAGTGGTCATATGCAAATGGAATACAGTTCTTGCTTTTTGACTTCAAAGCAAGTAAGCAAAAAAGAAAAATGCGTGGATAAAGAGAGCTGTTCATGTTGATTGGCTAAGGAGAAATCCCAGTATGCATCTGTAGGATTTGTCTATAAATCTGTGGAGGGAGTGTTTTTTTGAAGTCATTTCCCAATGATTAGCACCAATAGCTATTATCACAAGTGATATCCTTAGATATGGGCAGTGAAATGTACTCAATTAAACAAAGGGTTCAGTTCCAAATTACCTGAAGGTTACCCAGATCAACAAGCATTTGAAGAAGGCTAGAGAGCGTAGAAACCAAAATGTTATAACAACATAGATAAGGATAATAGTGAATATAAATCATTTACTTCTGGTTTTCCTTTTCTTCATCTTGGCTAGGACATAACATTTCAGCAGAATTGCATTCTTCTTTTCTATGCCAATAACCTTTCAGGATATATGCAGTCATGACGCTCTACATCTTCCTTTCTCTTGGAGTATTTGACTCGTGTTTCTTAATACTTGCACAGCAATACAAATGCACAACTTTTGAAAGACATCTTTCACTATCCCAATGCACCATTGGATTTCGGTGTCACACTTTACATCCTTTGTTGAAATACTTCTTGGGTATTTAAATCATAATTCATATATTGTGCTGGTCCTTTTGCTGATGACCATGTTGTTTCAATTTACAATTTCTTATATAGATCAATGGATCCCACTAAAGTAGAAAACATTTAAATTTTCATCCCATTGGTCATTTCTTTTAAACAGATATGCATAAAAGGGACATAATATTATATGCTTGATTCTGATTCTTCCAATTAGACAGCTGTTCCTTGTATTCCATTTAATGAGAATCCATCGTGTGTGTGTGCATGCATTTGTGTATAAGCATACAAGCACAAATATTCTTGTTTTTTATTATATATTTTTTCACCACAACAGATTAGCCGCCACCATGCCTATGTTCCTCGAGATGTTGTCTTTGGTTTTGTGAAAATGTGCCCAACTTGCACTTCACTGTACAATGACCAAGGTTCCATTTCTGTTTGTGGAGACTTAGTGACATTGTCCAATTTGGAGAATGATGATGTTGGTGCTGACTTCAAACCAGTCATTGAAGAAATGATGCAAAACCCACCTGGCAACAACAAAAGCCCTGACCTTCCAACTCCCACTATGTTCTTGGACTGCAAAAAAGAGCCAGAACCAACAGCAACAACACTATCACCTTCCTTGTCAATTCCTTTGTTACCCTCTACAGCTGGAGATAAAAATAGGTCTGAAGAGATAATAGATGCTGACTATTTTATGGCCGTTGGTCAGGTGAGTACCTCGGGACCTTGAGTACCTTGGGATTTTTTTTATCTTAATTTGTTATTTTGCCATAATGGATCTCGGTGTTATTTTATGATGCTTATCAGAAGTTTATGTAGGAAAGAACTCGGCTAAATTGATTTTGATTCATTCTTGTGATTGCTTTATTTCTTTTTTGTTTAATTAAAAAATGGATTTATGACTTTTTAACAGTAGATCCCTTCATGTGATAATTAAGGATTTCTGTTTAAAACAAATTTTTTATTTATAAAACTTTTTTCTGCAATTAAAGCCTTTTAAACATCTTGGACACTAGAGTATCCAAGATGTAGCTCCACCTTGGAGGTGAAGCTACATCTTGGATATTGTAGGAAATACAGTACTGTATTTCCTACAATATAACCTCCCCCTATAATTTGGTAAGTAATACAGGATGCGATGGGTAAACTGTCACCATTTTATATTTTTAATTTTACACATATGCGTTTGGTTTGGGTTTTGTCAACTGCACAGTATAGTAGGGTCAGTTGGGCACTGTCTGTGCAAAAAAGAGTGCCGTGATGCAATTCATTCTACCAGAAATTTGGAAACTGCATGCTGTATTGCTTGGCATTTGTGCCAGAAGCTCCAATACGGACATTTCAGAGTTTGACTTTTGCATAATTTAGACAATTTATCTATCACACCCTGTATTTAGTGGGGGTAAAAAAAAATAATATTTATTTGATGAGTGATGCATACTTGTTTTATTTTTGAAATCTTAGTAGAAAATTGTGATTGCAAATTAAAATAACTATTTAAAAACTTATATTTAATTCTGGTATTATCAAGTGTCCAGTGCATCAAACAGGTGTGTTTTGGTATTAGTCTTGGAAGCAATCCCAGCCATTGTGAGATTATACGCTCGGTGATTGTTTTTCTTTAGATATTTATTTGGAAAAAGTATGCTTTATATGATAACTTACTTTTAAATGCTATATAATTTTCTTTCAAATTTGATTCTCCGTAAAATGCTTACAGTACTATTGAAAAGAATCTCAAAAAATTGGTTAATTTGGCTTATGATGAGATTAATTACTATATTTTATATAAAGCCAAGTTCATTGGAATTTCATTAATGTATCTTTGAAGTATGTCAAAAAATAACAAGTACTAGTCAAAAGTTCAGGGAGTCCAAACTAATTTTTCAATCTGTTATTTAACCTGTCAAATTAACCAAGCGTTTCCCATTTATTGATAAACATTACACAAATTTCTTGATATTTTTTTTTTGATTGATATTCTTTTTTTTTTTTGCAGTTTATCAACCTTTTGTAGGTTATTTAAATACAGAAAATTTTTGATTGTAAGAATTTTTTAGGAGATAAAAATTATTTATTGATACAAGTTATACTAATTAACCCATAGCTTATGGGGAGAAGTGGATTCATACATTTCCCAAGGGTATTTGCTCGTAAGTGAATACAACGAACCTGACTGGAATTAGAACTCTGCATTCTGATTTCCAAGCTTATAGCACCTGGTATTCCTAAGTACTCACCCACTAGGTACTGACCAGGCTCAATGTTGCTTACCTTTGGTGATTGTATGAGAACTGGTGTTTCAACCTGATATGGCTGTAAGCACAAATTTCTTGAAAACAATTAACTTGTTAATAAAAGTCTTTATTTACTGTCAGTTTCTTTTCTTTTTCTTTGTGGAAGCCATTATCTGCTTTAAGCTCTCCAGATCATTGAATAGCACCTCATATATTAAGATTGTGACTTATAAGTCAAAAAATAGGTTTATTCAGTGCATCATTTACTTCAAAGTGCAATTAAAAAAAAAAAAAAAAAAAAAATTAATATCAGTGTATTGGAAACTTTTTAAACAGTTCATAAAATCTGCCACATGTGACTGAGTTTTGCAATTTTGGGTTCAGAGAATTAAAATTTCATTCTATGACATTAAACATCTTTTATATTCATTATTATGTTTTTCACATAGGTGAGAATCATTGACATCCAGGAACTGCTGAACCTTTCATCTCCTCCAAGACGCTACACCTGCCTTGTCCACTACATTGACCTGTGGTCCAAATACAATGTACTGTGGCCTTTAAAAATACGGGACATTGATGAACTGGCCACTGGTATATCAAAGAATGTATTTGCCTATTTTGGCTCCCCAAAACAGATTATTTATGATGCAAGCTTTGAGGAAGCCCACCGACTTGAGGAATCTCTGAAGAAATGGTCAAAACAAGTGAAAGTGAGCACCGGTCTGCAGGAACCATTAGCCTCATCAGGTCCTGTCCACTGGAAGATTGTGGATAAATTAAAAGAACTTCTTGCTGAGTCTTGGGAAGAACAGCTAGGCAAATTGCAGTGTAAGTATTTTATAAATCTTTGTACTTGAAATAGATTTATAACTGAGTACACTGTCGCAGTTCTTTCTTTAAATGATCTATACCAAACAGCCCCTTATTAATCCTTGATGCTGTGATGCAGTTACTGACCTTTGAATGTTATCTGATCAGCAATGAATCAACTCAATGCTTTAGATTGATAATGTAGATTAGAATTTATTTAACAGACAACAGACCTTCCCACTAATGTCGGGTGTGAAAAAATGTCTTTTTTTTAAAAAAAAAAAAAAAAATATACACAAACATATGATTCAAGGACAGAAATTTCTCGTCCCCACAATCACTGTCACACTGACATCCAAATTACACCAACCCTACTTCTCTTGGTACAATGAGGAAATTGCTGCTGTAGGAAGTTTTAAGTCCTGAAACCAGTTGCCTTCTTCCATCTAAAATTTGAACAGATACCACACATTTATCCCAGCCCAATGGCAGAGAAGATAATATTTACCTGGCCTCCACACTAAGGCAATATGGAACATGGGGTGCTCATACAGATGGGCTAAGTACAAAAATTGCCCAATCCCTGTGTCTACTGTCACATTGGCCTCAATATTACACCAACCCCACCTCTCTTAGTGCAGTGAAGAAATTGCTTCTCCAGGTTCAAATCCCTAGGACCAGGCACTGTCTCATATCTGAAATGAGTAGATTAGATACCAGACTTTGATCCTAGCCCAAAAAGATTATGTAGATTAAATACGTACAATAGTTCATAATGTTTTTTGACTTGTTTACTTTGCCAGTAATATTCGTGACCTTAAAATAGAAAAATGTGCCAAACTAAGTTAAATGAGCATTATTCTTTGTGTGTTTGCATGTAGATGGTCATTTGCAATGTGGAAAGTGCGAATATGTGAGTGTGATCCTTATAGTACAATTTGGCTGATGAATATTCATGAGTTTGGTGTGTACTAAAGAATAGTTTGAAGAGGCAAGCAGTTTGCTGCAGCAGCTGTTGGGAAAAGATTGCTAAAGTTGGATATGATTTGTGGGTCAGGGGTAGGGGTCTGCCACGGTTTGTCTTAGAATCATTTACTTTTCTTTCTTGAACTCCCTCTCTCTGCATCTGTGTCTCAGAACCATCCCACTCACAAGAAGAAAAAAAAATATATAAATATTTATTTTAAAAGTAAATATGTCGGTAACTCAATAATGAAAATGGAAAACATTTCTATATAATGTGTTTCTGAATTTCTGGGATGCAGAGTTGTCGTTATTTACTCAATTATATTCAGTCTATTGTCATCATCCTTTTGGTTGTTATGAAGCCATTTTTACATATATATCAATGTATCAGGTTTCCACTGAATGCAAGTACACACTCCCCAATTCAGGGATTGAACTCAAACATGTCACAAAATTCACAAACCAATGCTTTTATTCATTCGGCCATTGTCTCATACTGAACAGTATTAAATAAAATAAGAACTAGACAGTATACCTAGACATGAGCAGTGGAATGAGAACAGTCTACACCATAGATTAAACAAATTAATATACACCTGAGGAAGGCTGGAGGGTACAATGAAACGTTGTGATGATAACAACAAAGAGAATATAAAGAGTGTAAATAATGTGTTTCATTCCTCAAAATTTCTTCATCAGATTTACACGTGGACTATTGCAACATTTTTGCACCTGTGTTCTCAGATGTATGTTGGTCTGGGTAATTTGCATTTGTGGCAAAGAAAAGTGAAACAAGCAACTCTCTGAAAGTAAATCTGGAGGAACATCAAAATGTTTTGGTAAGAGTGAGACAATGAAATCAGGCATGGCTGATCATGATCAGTCTAAATAAAGGTTTCAGTTATGAATTCTCTTTAGGTTATCTGGATTGACATGCACAAGATGGAGGCTGGAGGACAAAAGACTATAGTCTGGTTGTAAATAGTGGAAATGAGTGTTTCTTGATTATGCAATAATGTAATCGATCATGACCCGACATCTCAACATTAGTCACTTTCCCTCTGTTTTGATGTGGCTTTTCTTATCCATGGTAATGATTCTGATGTACTTGAATCCTTGGTACCCCGGCTGCATGATTAGTTTTCCTGTTGAACTAGCTAGATGCACCTGTATGTTCTATTCTAATAGTTTCTTTTCTCGCACTTCTCATCTGTGAAACTCTCTTCCAGTTTCTTACTTTCCTACCACCTACAATATTCAAAAATTTTAAATGCAATGCCAATCACCATCTTCTGTCATCCTGAACCATGTTCTTTTATTGTCCTTTCTTTTCACTAAGTTCTTCTCATTCATGTTCATGCCCAGTAAACTCTTGTCTTAGTGGCATTATTGCCTTGTTTGGGATAAAATGATCAGTTTTCATTTGCTCCTGTATTATAAGAAAGAATATATTTTTATTTGTATGTTCATATTTGGAAATTTTATAGTTTTTGTTCAGTCAATCATATTTTTTTTATTTTGAATTAAAAATGATTTTATCTTTTGTATCCGTTACTGCATTAAACTGAGTTCAAACATTCCTTCTTCTGTAAAGAGTGAATGCTTGAATTTAAATCATCGAAAGAGCTGTTGTAAAAAAATATTTCATTTGAACTGTCCTTGTTTTTTAGACATCTCCAACACAAAACTTGTGACCAATCATCAACATGTTACTCCCTACAAAGCTGTTCTTGGCAAAGAACCCATTGCAGAAACTTTTGCTGATCTAGCAGACAAACACAATACATTTGGTGGATCCTCTCCACGACATATAGGTACCAGCCAGAAAAGTGAGTCCCTATTTCTCATCTATTAATGCTCATTTTTTTTAGGGAATTTATTTCTTATAAGCTTAAATGACACCAAACAACTACTGAGATGTTTCTCTTTTAGGAATTGTTGCAGGATTTAGAATCAGAATGAGACTGTTGAAATTTCTGGAACATATAATGTGGAAAGAGAGCTTGGTAAATTTGACACTCACAGGACATATTAAATGCAAGAGCAACAGAGGAACACAGCAATTAACCTACTTGGGTAAATGAATAGGGAGTGGGAGGGATAGTAAAAAGACAAAAATTGCTAAGAGTTTCAAAGTATAGGAAGTTCTGGAGATCTATGATCTTCTATGTTCAGAAGAGATATGGCACATGAAAGATGAATCATATCTTGGATTTAAATCCTTGAATCAATTTGTAAAGACTTCACACCATAAAATACTAGCTCTGTCTGAGGGAGTCTTCTTCTTTATGCTGTGTCTCTTAAGGACATTAACAATAATGGCCCTCCATAATTTCCTGTCATTTGTAAATTTTTTTATCACTCCTGCTCTACCATACATTTACTCAAGCTTGAGTTTACTAAAGTAGGTTATGCATTGTTTTCCTATATCCCTCTTGCTTTCAATCTGTCCTGTGTGTATCAGATTTTCTCATCCCTCTTTCCTCATTGTGTGAGCTAGAAATTTCACTTGTCTCTTTCTGATCTTAAATATGAGTATCTTTTTTGCTTCTAATTTTTTAAAAACTTTGTCGTTGCTCACATGTTCAGTCCATGGTATTCTCAGCATCTTTCTGTAGATCCACATTTCTGTTGTAGGGTGTCATTTGTTTGCTCATGTGTGAGAAATTGTATCTAGCTTGGCTTGAAAAAAAACATACTGTGGAGATTGCAGCTAATAAAATTCCAAGAAAAAATGACATGTGTCACTAAATGCACTAGAAGCAGACATGTCATTGGTTGGTCTTTGATCTGACAAACCACCTTCTTTAGGAACTTTTTATAGCAATTTTTTTTTTCTATCTAATTCAACTTTTCTTGAATTAAGATGTTGTGGCATAACCATAGGTACCTAAAAAAAAATGCAATATTGAAGATTTAAAATGCATAAGAATGAAAAATCTTGAATCTTTTTATTTTAGTTTTAATTTCAAGCTAATAGATAAAATGAACAAAATACTTTACTGTATTTCAAAGTGAATTTAAATTGATTGGCATATTTATCTTTTTTCAGATCTCTCAACTGAGCACAATGTAGATTCTGTAAACAACATCTCATATTCTTTGATCCAAAATTCAACTCCTGTCATTTCTGACATCTGTCACATTAATTTAAATGAGACAGACACAAATACACTGCCCTCTAATCCACCAGACCCTGCAACTACTATCAATATTGTAAATGGTAACACTGCTTCTCTGACCAACACTGCCTCTAGTCCATCTTTAGATAAGACAACCACTCGTGGTGAGTTTTTGGAAATTATGTATTTCTTATATATGTAACTCTTTGTATAGATTTATGTGCATATGTTTTTGTAGCAAGCTTTTTGGATTGTTGTGTATACAACTTGAGTATCCTTTATCTGAAAACCTCCAAAATCTGAAAGATTCAAAATGCATTGGGAAGATTCCTAGGTGATGTGCAGCTGTTGTCAATGATCTCATCCGCTCTGGGTGGAGGTTCCCCAGTCCAGCTATGTTGCTGCTAGTTTTTTGTTAGCAATCGTCACAGCAACACTTTCGTTTGTAGATTACTTACTAGGCATTTTGTGCTCAGTAAAGATATTATTCAAAAAGTCCTGCATATACCCATATGGGTAGTGAAAAGAAAACAAGAAAGCATTTCTGTTTGTCAATATCACAGAGATTTAAACTGTTGGAAAAACTAGACATGGGTGTAAATGTGAAGTGTCTGGCTGAGGAGTTTGGCATTGGGACATTGACCATATACAACAAGGAGAAATTGATAAAATTTTATGCTGATGGTGATGAATAGAAGTTAATGAAAGATAGGAAAATACTGCGCAAAGAAAAAAAATGATCTCAATCGTGTACTGATGGAGTGGATTTGTCAGCGTTGTAGTGAGCGTATGACTCTTATATAAAACTACCATCAGGGTATATGTATAAGCTGTGCCATGAAATGTGAAGGGATATTGTATTATGCTTGGGTTCCATTCTCAAGCTGCTCCATTTTATAGATGCTATATACAAATTAAATAGCCTCTATTCCTAGATTCGGCATAAAGTGACCACTAAGGTTGGAATGCCATTAAACAAAACAAACAAACATCTATTCCTAGATGTAAAAAATTATTTTAATAGAAAGATTTTATAAATTTCAACTGAAAATAGCACTGGTTGCTTGGTCAATGAATGCAAAATGTTTTCTCATAAGGAAACAGCTAATATAACAATTACAAATGTAAGCTTTCCACTCAGATATGTCAGAATATCAAAAGAGTTAGGTGCTTCAGAAAATTGACTAAAAAATATGTCCTTATAGCACAGAATTGGGCCTCAGAGGATGCTAATAACTGTGCCAACATAAAACAGAAAGTAACTCAACTGAACTTAGGATATGCAGTCAAAGACAGCAGGATGGCAGGAAGGGTAACATCCTTACATCTTCACAGGAAGACTGAATATGCAAAGAAAGTCTCTGAATGACATTGTACCTCTACAGCCGTCATTAATTTAACAAAAGTCCAGAAGTAAATAAATAATTTTATGTATGAATGATTTATTCTCTTACTAGATGTTACTAATATGATGTTACTAGTTGACGACTTTCTAGTTTCTTCAAATATGTTGTTAATCTTTCTCATTTGACTTTTAGATTCATCTGGCGACAACTGTCTGGACACCTCTAATGAAGTTCCCCCTTACCAAATGTTTCATGGTTTTGTGCCAACCACTCCTGATGTGTGCCAAATTGATTTGACAGAACATGAATCAGCTGCACCAAATGCATTGCCTGCTTTGAGTCAGTCTTCCACTAACCATCTAAATCCAGTTCCGATTGCTTGTACTATTAACAGAGCAGCATTGGCTGCAAACAAGTCACAGACTATGTTGGCTGTTGATGAAACCATTAATCATAATTTTGGTAAGATATAGAAATTCTTTCATTACAATCAATTTGTGTCATGTTTCCTAGATGTGCTTAAAGAATTGAACTCTAATAGCAAATGGTGGCTTTTGTGTGTGTGTGTGTGTGAAAAAGAGACAAGCAAAAATGTTGCATAACATTGAATAAAAAAAAATACAATAGGAGTGATTTTTTTTTTTTTTTTTTTTTTTTCCAGTTTGGTAAGGTCAAATCGGCAGCTGATCTCCAAAATGACCTACAGTCTGCTGTTAAGTGGGCAAGGAATGGCTTGTTAATTTTAATACCTCCAAAATAAAACTTCTCTCTATTATTCATCTGAGAAACTCTTATGCTAACATTCTTTGTTGACATGAAGTGAAAAGATTATACTGAATCACTTGATAGATCTGCAGCTAAGAAAGTTAATTCACTGTGTTGTGCTAGACAATTTTTCTTTCTAGAATCTATCTTACATATTTATAAATTAACCGTTCATGCTTTGGATATTGCAGCCACATATGGTCTGGTGTTCCTGCTATATATTTAGAGATTCTTGCTAAAATCCAAAAAAGAATCAGTAATATTATTGGTTCTGAACTGGCATCTCAGCTTTAGTCACTTTACTGCCATAATGTAGCTTACCTGTGGCTTTTCTATTAATACTAACATGGTAATTATTTGGATTAACTTTCTCCTATGGCACTTGGATTTTATGAAGTTAAGCACAGTACTAGATTGGCAACATGTCTCCTCAATTTACAGTTGAATTGGTTAGATGTAAGTAAATTCTATTCTAACAGTTTATTTTCTCACACTTCTCACTTTTGAAAATCCCTTCCTGCTTCATGCTTTCCAGCCAACTTTGATCTTCAAAAATTTAAATGCAATGTTTATCGTTATCTATGGTTTTCTTGATTATGCTTCTTCTATTGTTCTTTCTCCTTAGTAATGTTTCTCATTTTTTCTAATTCTTTTACTCAGTAACCTCTTGTGCCTTCGTGGCTTTATTGCCTTCATGGGGTATATTTATTTTTTTATAAATTTTTACTAAAATAGTATGGAAAATTTTAACATTCTCTCATAAGTAAAAGTTAATTTCATAAATTAATTAGAAAATCTCAGTCATACAAGCATCATTTATTGGAATAAATATAAAAAATATACATATATTTATAAAAGCTATATTTTTGTGTGACACTACAGTTGTGATCAGGAAACCTACATAAATGATTTTATTGCAGTTTTAAGTGTTTTTCTTTTTTTATAACCAGCCATGGAATCTGCGAAGTAGAGTTCACAAAGTGGCCATCCACTTGGCCAAAAGAGAACAAAACAAATAAATGGAAACTTTCGAGACTAAGTGACACCTCATTGGATGTTGAAGATTTCTGTTCACAGGCTTATATAAACACAGTTGGGATTGAAGTTAGTTCTGGACCATTAGTTGGCAGGAACTGTTCATTCAGAGGGAATTCCAAACCCACATGTCATGATAGGAAGATGTGTGCTTTGAGTGAGTCAAGTTTCTGGCTGATGGAAGGGAAAAGCTGACATGGCACCTCCTAACCATCCAGATGCAAGGGGGGTATGGGAAATAGGATTCATGTTTACCATTTCTTGCTACCATGGTATTTATTTCACATTTCCTTGTTGAGCAAAAAGTTGAGTTGTATGCTTTCATAAGCAGCCTTTTATTTTCCACTGCCTACTCTTGAGTCTGTAATAATTGTATTCCAACTCCATCACTTATTTATTTTCATGGAAAATCTTAGACTAATCCTACCCACTTCTAAGATTTTCCTAACCCCTCCCTTATTTCAGCTTAGGAAAGAAAGGAAATAAAATCAGGTACATGCTGAATGAAGGCACATGTAAAATCATTGTTGTGTGTTTTTGCATTTTGCAGTGCGGAAGATTCACTATCTTCCAAGATGCATCTCTAAGTTGGTCATTTTGAGTTTGTTAATAAATATCAAAGTGTTTAAAAGTAAATTATTTGGCATTATTGAAGGAGTGTGTGGGTGTGTGTGAATGCTGAGTGGCAAGTCTGTTTCCTGCTTGAGTGCAATTTTCAGGTCATGAAGATTGCTAAAGGATGAAATATACTGTCACTGTGCTGTGTTCACCTCACTGTCCATTTTTATATTTACATACAAAGTAAACCAAACAGAGCATCCAATATTGAACACTTTTATCCGTAAATATAGTATATCTTAAAATTAAAACTGTTTTTATCATATATAATAAACAACAAATAGGAAACCTATATCAATCTGACATGTTTCCCTTTTATTAAAGCTTCATCAGATTCTCTCAATCTCTGATGAAGCTTTAATAAAAGTGAAACATGTTAGATTGATATATTTCCTATTTGTTCTTTATTTTATCTTGTTGAATTCCAATTCATATTTGATCTACATTTGATCTTTAACTCCCATCTCGAACAAATCATCCCAAGTGAAATTCATACTAAGGTGTTGTCAGAAAGCGAAATATATACCCATATATATATATATATATATATATATATATATATATATATATATATATATTTCTTTTGAACTGTATGAATATTGCTTTTACACAAAAACTAATAGTCAATTGTATAGTTCTCTCTCTTCAATATTGCAATATCATTTTCTGAATTTGTTTTCTGGTCTTGATTATTGATCTCATTTTTTGCTGAATTTAGGTAGACTTTTTTTTCTATTTGGTACCTCATTTTGGTTTTATTTTGTGTGTGTTTGTATTTTTTTTTTTTTTTTTTTTTTTTTTGTGCTTGGTCTTGTTAATTCTGTGCATGGAGAAATGCTGAAAGACTTAAGGCCCTGACCAAGAAGCTCTTCCAAAAATGTCTGCTGTTTGGTCATTTGGTCAGATTTTAGGAAATGTGTTTTTCCAAGAATTTTTACGCAACCCTTCCTTACTGAATTCTTTAACAACCATTTCATATAGACATTTTATTTCAGTTTACTAATTCATTCATACTGTGTAACAATCAATATTCATCTCTTTCTTCTCGCATAATAAATCTGTGCAAATTTTGATTGAGGGCTGAAAAATACTATCACCCAAATAAGTATTTTTAAATTATACCATAAAATTAATTTGTAAACAGAAATATTACATTCATATGTTGTCAAGATGTAAATATTTTTTAAGTTATTCATCAAGTGTAAATTAACAATATTACTCTATGGGTACTGAATAACTTTGGGAGGCTTTTATTTTAGTTTTTATTTCAATAGATTAAAATTAATATTACTTATAAGCAAAATACTTTTCTATTTTTCAAAAACTAATTTTGATTGACTGAAAGAGTTTTTTTGTTTTTATTTTTATTTTTTATTTTATTTAGTTTTTTTTTTTTTTTTTTTTTTTTGGAATAGCTGATTAGCACTCTTTTTTAGTTGTCTTTCATCACAAAGTAATTCTTTATTAAAAAATCCTCCAAAAATAAAATATACCTTTCTGAAATTTTATTTGAGTAATATTAACTGATTTGAAGCAACTATTATTTACTTTAATTTTAAAATATCCCAGAAATTCATTTTTTGACCTGATAGTAGCTATTTATTTAAGCAGTTATGTTTGACAGCTTGATGGTTGTTTTTTCTAATGTTGTTCTATGGGGTTGTGGGGGGGGTTAGCTGTAAAAAAAAATAAATATGTGAGCTACTTTTATATTTAACTCTTAAGTATTCAGTAATCTTAAAAACTTTTGAAAATATTCTCCATGATTGAATTTTCAAAATTTTGGCTTTAAATTTAATATAGTCATCACTCTTATTTTCTGATAATGTTGTGTAAGTGCACCCATACTTAGAAAAATCGGCACACTTATGGACATACTAAAAAATCCAAAATCTTTTTAAAAATATTAGTGTTTGATGATAAACATTAAGCTTTTCCATTTATGATTAGTAAATATAGTTTTTACTTAAATATCATCCTCTGAAAGGATTGAATTAATAAAGAATTTTAAAATATTTAAAACTTAAATTATTAACTTAAATTATTTTAATTAAAATTTTAAAAAAATGAAAACAATTCTTGTAAAAATTCATTATTTCTCATGAAATGTTTTTTTCTTAAGACATATTATGGACACTAGAAACCTTTATTCCATCTGCTGATGCAAGAAAAACAAGATTTTGAAGCAAAATTTTGAATGTGCTAGAAAGGATTAAGACATTTAATAAAATAATGAAAAATAATTCTTTGGTCTTTCTACTTTTTGTTTTTAAGGTTTGAGATCTTTTTTTTCATCATGGTATGCTCCATTTTAGTGGTACCTATGTAAAATACAGTATTTTTTAATTGAACTATTTAAAAAAACAAAAAAGTTTTGTGTTGAATAAATAGCTGATTTCTGTAAGCATCATTACAAGCTTTATACTCTTGGTTTCAGTTTGCAGAGTTATTTCCCTTGTCAAAATTTTACACTGCTATCAGTTATCCAAATCCTAAGTAAGGTGCTGAGAAACGGAAAGAATTCGAAACAAAGTGAGTGCTGGATTGCTGTGTTAACCATGCTCTTATATAGCAATGAATGCTGGACAATCTTCCCATGGATGAGTAGAAAACAGGAAGCAGCAGAAATATTGTTCTAGAGAAGGATACTGAATAAGTTACAAAGGAGTCTTAAAGAAAATGGCAACAGAAATAACTTATATTCATCAGTAAAAGACAGCTGAAATCTCTTGGAGACATAATGTGGAAGGAGTATTTGGAAAACTCTCACAGGGCATATTGAGGGCAAGAGAGATAGGGAAAGGCAGTGAGCCACTTACCTGATGAGCTTGTGTGAATGGATGGTGCAACAGTTGGGCTTAGCAAAGGGAGAAAAATTGCTAAGAGCCACAAGAGATAGGAAGCTGTGGAGAGCCATGATCGCCTATGTCCTGAAGGGATGCAACATGTACTCTCAATAAATTACAGGTTATAGCATTTGTATAATCAAAATATATTGCATGTAATTTCAAGCTAATATCTAATTTCAGCTTATGACAATATCA